TGGCTCACGAGTTGATTGACTCACTTGCAATTCTATCCTTTTGTTTTTTTGCTTGTTAAAATACTTATAACAGTAGGTCAGTTAATTTAGATAATAAAAATTTTCATTAAAATTTAATTTCATGTACATTAAATTTATACTTTTACATTCAACTTTATTTATTAAAAAAAATACTTCTAACATTCCAATTCTCACTTTATAAACTTGCAAGATCTAGCAAATATCATCAAGATTTTTTTAAGAGAATATTAATTTAATTTATTTTTTTAAGGAAATGTAAAATTAGAAATTTCTTAATGCAATTGTGATTTAGACACAGGTCAATTAACTGTAATTATAAGACATTTTTAGCAGCAATAAATACATTTATTTATTACTTAAGATAGTGAGACTTTGACGCAATGTCTCTTTCACCAAAAAAAAAAAAGATATATTTAATGGCAATTTTTAAAATGTTTTTAGAGTAAATATTATAAAAATTGAAGTTAACAAATATTACCGCTTAACCCTGAGTAGAAGCAAAGAATGTAAAATTAATAATTAATTGTGTAGAAACTGCAAAAACTATATATTTTATTGGCACACAATGGTGCTATAATAAAATATATTTTAGGAGGAGTCCATAAATAGGTTACCTAAAATTTTGCAAAGTGAAAAATATTTCTTTAATATATCTTTTTTATGATATAATATTCAAATTAATTCTATAAGGATGAATAGATTAATATCTTTGTTGCAATCGTGCTCTCATTTTGCTTCTCATTTCAAAGGTATTAAGGATAAATTAATTATATCTTATCATTTGGAAAAGTTAATTAGGAATTTGTAATAATAATTATGATTTAATTAAACAAGTTATAGAAATCTTCATAATCTCTATATTTATTAATAATATATTTTAAATAAATAATTATTATTATTAAAGAAAAAAGAAATGTAAATATAAAAGTACAAGTAGCCCTTAAGATCATGACCCCCACATGCATGAGATTGTAGGTATTAATGGCTGTTTTCATAATTAGTTTTCTTGAGATGATCATTGATGATAGACTACCATATTACAGCTATTTGTCTTTAAGATTCCCCACCTAACTGTGCTTAGAAATTATTTTGAAATTCATTTCTGAACAATCCTTTGATTAATTACAAACTCCTTAGTGTTGGAACCAATGCCTTCAAGATTCTCTGTTGGCAGCTAACAACCAGACTTTATAAGTTCATTAACAATTGTAAGAAACTATCTTTAATATATATAAAAGAGAACTGAGATTTTTTAACGAGTAAAGATATTATGGCATTTGCCCTAGCTTTTTAACGGAGAAGCCATTGATTCCAACTAAATTCAGGTCAATGGGTCGGGTTCGGGTCGAACCCGACTTGACCCGAACATAAACGGGTCAACCCGAACATGACCTGTTTAGCTAAACTAGTCAGAAAATTGAACCCGGACCCGACCCGCACGGGTTGCTGGGTTGACCTGACACGAGCCAACCCGCCGATTTCTTCCCAGCGCGGGCAAGAGCAGCTCAGGCGCGACTCGCGAGCACTGCGGACCTTGCAGTGCGGGCACGTCTGTGCAGGCGAGTGCGGTCTACTGGGGCGAAGCAGGCTGTGTGCCGGCGCTAGGTCAATGTAAGCCTGGGGCAAACCACGCGGGACTGTGGACTGGATGTGACGTTTTGAACTAATCCGACTAGAGGAGTCGCGCTGTCGCGGAGAGCCACAGAAGCCCATAGTGGCCCAGAAACCGCCGTAAAGCCGCCGGTAGTCCAAAAAATTGCCGGTTAAAATAGGATAACCGCCGGAAAAAACCGCCGGATTTCGGCGTTTTTCCTGTAGTGACAAAACTCGGAAGTGATGATTCTTCTAGCATGAAGCGACTGGCCCTGCGCGAGAAGGCTGGCAAGCCTGGCATGACGCGACTGCAAGATTCGATTCGCGACTAGACGTGGCTAACCGGGTCAATTTAGGTTGACTCGCGGGTTTCCAGGTCAACCCGAACCCGACCCGTTTTTCAAACTGGTCGGAAATCCGAACTCGAACCCGACCCATTTCACAAACGTGTTGACCCGAACCCGGATTTTTTCGGGTCGGGTTTCGGGTCGGGTCAATTATTAACACCCCTAATTCCTACCCATCCTTCCAAAATTCAAATTTAACTATTCAGGAAGAAGAGTTCTTAAGAGAAAAATGATATCCCACCGAGCTTAGCTGTGTTGTTGGGCGAGCATGCTTGGGTATCCCCAACTCATGTTTGAATCCCCTCTCATGTGGCGTGACCCCTTATGTGGGGATAAAATAGCTGCGAGTCCTGCACTTGTGGGGCTGGTTGCTGGTAGGCTCGCCGAGGGATTAGTTACGCAGTCAAGCACCTCTTAAGTGTGGTGGTAGCGGGTAGATACCTACGTTTCCCGAAAAAAGAGAGAGAGAGAGAGAGAAAATGACTATTTTTAGTTTTCTAACTAAAAGCTTCAAAGTTGTAGTATTTAGATCTTTGGCTCATATGTTTTGCGCGCTTTCAAGGTAAAGCTTTGGATACATACATATTTGCCTCTTGATTAATGAATGGTTGCCCCAAATAAAGCTTAAAATAGATATGATGAATAACTTAGGCTTCATTTTGGAAATCTTTCTTACTGCTTTCTAAACCAGCTTTTTAATACAAAAAGTTAACTAGAAAGTTGTTTTAAGAAATAGTAAGAAAACCGTCTCAAACGAAGCCTTAGGCTTCATTTCATTTTGGACAGCTTTCTTGTTGCTTTTTAATACAAGAATTAAGTTTTAATTCAAGTGTTTTTTATCCAAAAAAAATGCTTTAGAAAGCGATTAGAAAATTGTGCCCAATAAAGTCTTAGATAATTACAATAATAATATAAGTTAATTAATGTCTATCATGGCTTAATATCTATACGAATTCCTTTGTTTTCTCACTCTATTAACATACTCTTCAAGATTAAATAACTAAGGCTTAGGTTTCGTTTGGGATGACTTTCTTACTACTTCTTAAAATAACTTTTTAGTACAAAAATTTTAAATTTTATACTAAAAAGCTGCTTTAAGAAGAAGCAAGAAAGTCATCCCAAACGAAGACTTAATTACTTTTCAAACAACAGCAAACAAAACAAAAAAAGTTAGCATCACAAAGGGGGATCCAAGTCATGCGTTCATGAATTGTTCAAACTTTGACATCATGAATGGAACTGATAATACAAACAATTCATTTTCAATTACGCTTGCTTCAAGTTGTTGGAATTGAATGCTTGTTTTTGTCATTTTTTCCAAGCTCTTTTTTTTTTTTTTTTCCTTTTTTTCCATATTTATTAACTAATTGATTGCAATAGCACGACTGAACAAAGCCTATTTCTAATAAGCTTTTAGTGAATGAATGATAAGTTTTGATTAGAACTTAATTTTAGACTGATTTTTAATAAATATATCATATAGTTATAAATTTAGGCTCTTATTGTGATTTATTTGATATAAGAAATTATAATTCATTGAAACTTTATAATATCAATTTATGATATATTTATGTTAACATATTTGTCCAATATATATATCTGATATAACATTTGTAGAACATTTCATCAACATGATTGATTAAAAAATAATAAATAAATGATATATTTGTGGAATACTTATATTATGTTAGTTAAGTGAAATGATCAAAAGAACTTAAAGAAGAGTTAAACTTTAATAAGAGATTTTAATTTTAAAAGAGACAAAAGAGACTATGTTTCTAACAACTATAAAAAAAAAAAAAAAAAAAAAAAAAAAAATTAGGACTGCAGCAGTTTACTGATTGAAAGAGTCTGTGACTCTATGTTTTCCTCAGAGCAATAAAATTACTTAGCAAGCTCCTACATTAAGAAGAGGTATTTGTTTTCACCTATTATAATAATAATTAAAAATTAGAGAGAATGATATATTTTTTGCTATATATTAATACCCAATTCATGAGCATAAGATAAAATTTGTTTGTCCTAATAAAAAACAATAATTAAATTGAGTTTTAAAGTACTTTATATACTTTTCTATTAGTGTTATACATAAATATTTTTTATTGCACTCATCAAAAAAAATAATCCATATACAAATAATCGAAGGATTATTTTAAAATTTAACTCAAAAGTAGAAAATTTCAAAATCGCCCGCTAACTATTTGTGTATAGCTAGTTTAGTCCCAGATTATTACATTGCCCCAATTTAGTCTCTCGACTGCACAGAACATATATAAAATAGTCCCTCATGTTATAATTGTAATTTATAAAATTAATCCCAATTTAGTTCCTTATACTCTATAAAATTGATTCCAATTTAGTCCTAAAAATCATTTTGAATCAATTTTATACCGTTGATGAACTCATACTTTGAGACTAAAATGAACATATACAAGTAGTAGAGGGACTATTTTAAAATTTAACCCAAAAAATATTAGAATCCACCATGGTAAAAAATTTAATCAAAATATTGTGACATAAATTTTTACATGAGCTTTTGTGATAATTGTTTAAAGCAAAAAAATCTTTGCATGATACCTAAGAGCAAATTAAAAAAAAAAAACCCATTTTCAAATTTTAGGAAAAAAAAAATCAATTCTTTAAAAGGCTTTTTTTCTTTATGGTTTCTTTCAAATTCTGCAAAATATTATTATCAGTCTACATGATTAAGATTATTAGCTCCATTTATGTAGTTAGTAAGATAATTACTAATGATCCTCAATTATTATATTTGTTTGATACATAATCAAAATCACAAAATATTGATTAAATTAATATTTTTTACAAAATAAATTAAATGCTTAAACAAAATTCAAAAATTCAAAAAAATATCCATCACCTTCAAATACTCTGAAAATAAAAATAAAAATGGCCTCTTCCGTGTCTAATCCCCAACCCCTTTTCTTCCCTCTCTTTTTGTTGCGTGTGTAGAAGTCCATGGTATGAAGAAGTCAGCGTCTGGCACATAATAAAATAGACCTCTCTCTCTCTCTCTCTCTCTCTCTCTTTCTCTCTCTCTCTCTTAAAACTAGACAGCAAGCTCAATTCCTCTTCCTCCCATGATTGGAGATTAAGGAAGCCAAAGAAGAACCAGAAGATCACAGAGCTAGCTTGATTTGCTTTCTGCCACTCCTGCTTAGGTACAGCTACATATAAACTATAGGAGGAGAGGATGATCAGTTATGTATAACTACTAAATTCTTCAATTCTCTTCTTTTCATTAACATTTTCTTCCTCTCCCCCTTCATCTACCAGTACTAAGCAAGATCATGTGTGACTACTTCTGGCAAAGGATGGATCAGAATAACCAAGGAGACCTCTCAGACATCTTCCGAAACAGCAGCAGCCACACCAGCAACGACTCCTGGCATCCACTGCCGGAGCCCGCCGGAGCCTTCGCGCCACCGTCCAACCTCTTCGGAGACCCGTTCGCTGAGATCGGAGACCCTTTGCTCGGTGAATTCGCCACAACCAACTACTTCAACTCGTCTGAGACTACGATTGTTAAGACGAATAGCACTGGTCGTAGTGATGACTGCGGTGCACAAAAGATGCTACTTGAGGAGGAAGGGAAGAGTAGCATCTTCTCAAGGATGTTGCAAATCTCTCCGGTGATCCCCAGCAAGATGTCGGCAGAGATCGGACCATCGCCGCTTGTGGGTACTGTGGCCGGGGATAGCAGTGGATGTTTGCAAATCTCATCAACAAGAGTGCAAGGGATCAAGAGAAGGTTGGTTGATCACCAATACTTGGTTGCTAGGGTTTTGTTTGAATTCATGAAGGAAAAAAAATAGAATTTTAGTAATTTATGAGTGATTATGAACTTTAATGATTGGATTTATATCTTCCCTGCCTTTTTCTTCTTTCTTTTCACTCATTAAAGAAAAAAAAGATGTGAGTTGGAAACAAAAGGATTCCCTTTTCCTCATTTCAAGACAATAAAATCATAAAATTGTGTTTTTTTTATCACCAATCTTGTAGTAAAAAGGGATTCTTCTCTTTCCTTTTAGGAAATGGAACTCTTTTTTCTTTGATAGAATCTGATATGATTAAGTACCCAAAATTAGAAATAAGAAATCTTTAGAAAACTTTGGTAACTTTTTATCCTTTTTATTTGTGGGGAATTATAGGAAAAGTCAGGTAAAGAAAGTGGTATGCATACCAGCACCAGCTGCAGCAAGTGGCAGGCCAAGTGGAACTGGAGAAGTAGTTCCTTCTGATCTCTGGGCTTGGAGGAAATACGGCCAGAAACCAATCAAAGGTTCTCCTTATCCTAGGTAATTGATTTTGTTTTTATATTTTTTTGTCATAGAGCTCAACTCTTTCTTGAGAAAGTTTTTTTTTTTTTTTTTATATGTATGTCATCCTCTCATTTTTTTTTTAATTTTATGAGTAGGGAGAGAGGTAGCACAAGAACATGCTAACATTCAAGTTAAAGGGACAACAATAAGATAGATAATATAGAAGAGGGAACATTACTATTTTCCTCTCTCTCTCTCTCTCTCTCTCTCTCTCTCTCTCTCTCTCTCACACACACACATTCATGATTCCTTCTCACTTAATCCAAAGTTAACAATCAAATGTTCAATACCTTCTCTTTCTCACATGAAAGAAAATACTGAACAGTTCATCATAACCTTCAACTTTGGATTAAGGAAGACAGAATCTCTCTCTCTCTCTCTCTCTCTCTCTCTCTCTCTCTCTCTCTAGATCTCTCTCTCTCTCTCTCATTCTTACTCTCCCTCCAACATTCACGATATTTTTTATCTTTACTCCAAATTTAATTTAAGATAATATCACATTACCTTTACAATTAAGAATTTATATAATGCAAATTAAGATAGGATTTTGTCTTAGAAAAATACATCCTTTTGTGTTGTTATACATATATATGAGCATTTTATATAGATGGAAGAGGTTTACTAAAATGAAGTTAAAAAAAAACTTTAATTTCATTATAGTAATATTTTATTCACATAATTTCTTAGCATCAGAGCAATAAATAAATTTTAAAATTTATGCCTATAATAATTAATGAAATATGTAATCATGATCATCCTAAAAACTAGCTAATTATATATATCAGCTTGATCAAATATTAAAAGTCTAAATGAATAAAATATAGTCATTTCATCAATCATAACAACTTGCTTTATTTTTTTGATTCTTTCAAATTGCATGTGATCTTTATTTGAAATACCTAATTAAGAAGCAATTTTTTTTAATAAAGAAAAATGACTGAATTTCTTAATTTGTTACTCTATGTACAGTAGTTTCTTGCTCATTAAGTATACTGATGTGTCTTATCTTCACATGGGAGGAAGATTTTGTCAATAATAGCATAGTACTTGTCAAGTAGATCAAGAGAAACTAATTGTCAAATCTCAGTAAAGTAGATTCATCTTAGTGCAATTTAATATTGATTAATTAAAATCATGTACAGTTTTCAAAATTTGTTGACAAAAATGTTTAAGTTCGTTATTAGAATTTATGTTCATTAATAGTCCATCTTGTTAGAAGTTGTCACATAAGAAAAATGTTAAGGAGGACTATTAAGATGAATGTAATGTAATATTAAAAAGAAGGATAAATTAAGTGACTTGTAACAGTTTCTGTAAGACTGTAAGAAAAATTAAGAATCATTAGGCATTACTACTTCTGTCTTATTGATGAAATTTCCATGCAATTCAGAGGTTACTATAGATGCAGTAGCTCAAAGGGATGCTCAGCAAGGAAACAAGTGGAAAGAAGCCGGACAGATCCTAACATGCTAGTCATCACCTACACTTCAGAGCACAACCATCCATGGCCAACTCAAAGAAATGCTCTTGCAGGATCAACAAGATCTCATCCTTCAAAGAGCAATAATAGTGCTTCAACTTCCAAGAATTCTCCTCACAACTTAAACCAATTAGCAACAAATATCAAGGAAGAGCACAAAGAGTGTTCGAGCTCAACCATCAATTTAGTCAAAGAAGAAGAAGCATATGAGATGGAGAAAGCTTTGGTTGATCCTCAAGATCATGATTTTGATCAAGTGTTCGATGAGAGTACTTTCATGATGTCAGATTCGAACCAGCCCGACGACTTCTTTGCAGATTTGGCTGAGCTTGAGTCATCCGATCCAATGAACCTCATCTTCCCAAAGGGATTCATGGGAGATCACGATCATGCTAAGTTGGATGAGGAGAGGGAAAGAAATAAGGCCTTGGATCCCTTCAACATGTTTGATTGGGAAGGAGGGAGTTCAATTGAAGAAACAAAAAGAGGTTTATGACATGACCTCTCGAAACAAATCAACACCTTAGGCTTCATTCGGGAAAGCTTTTCAGCTTCTTTGTTTTTCAAAAATCTCGCATGTTATATAATTTAGGCTTCAAATGGGATAGCTTTCTTATTGTTTTTTAAAGCAGCTTTCTAGTATAAAAATTTAATTTGTTGTACTAGAAAGTTGCTTTAAAAAGCAATAAAAAAACTGTCCCAAACGAAATCTTAAATTGGAAAAAAAATCTCCCAAGATATATCCTGATAAAAATTGTATCAAGATATGATCGCTTGAAAATCTTTTGATTTATTTTAAAATTAGTGTTATACATGAATAATTTGTATTGCTCTAATTTTAAAATAAATCTGATTATTTTAAGCCCATCCTCATATAATTTTTATCAGGATATTCTTACACAACTTTTTTCCTTTTAAATTTGTGCTTATAGCATGCGAAGACCGATCGACCATAAGAAGCAGACTTGCAGAACAAATTTTTCATGATTTTATTTCTACAATGCATCAAAACACAACACAACACAAGTACATGAAGCCCTCTATGATGTTATATAATTTACCTAGAGGTCTGGCTATATAAACCTTCACATATAGTAATTAGTTTAAGCTGTCATGAAGAGTCTTTCCTTCTTATAAAGACTTCTTTTACTTGTGTTTTTCCTTGTTAATTAAAGAATAATTTGTAGTTTAAGGATTAAAAAAAAGGATTTTTCTTGATTGAGAGAGAAAGATCATGTAGATCTACATACTCGTGATGTTGGAAGATGGGACAGAAAGCTGAGGAACAGAAGCATGGAACAGTGAGGGGCAAGTACATGCATGAGATGTCACTCAAAAAGCATTACAAGTAGTGCAATATCATCCATATCGTTAAGCTGGCTAGTCCTCTACTGTTTGTTTTTTTCAACCTTTATCATTTTTTTCTTCCCTTTCTTCTCTTAATTCAAAGTGGAAGTCAATTAAGTGATCTGATGAAAATAAATGGGGAGTGTGTGACCACTTTTCTGTTGCTTTAGCATTGAAACAGTGTTATAGTTTGTTCTAAATTATGATAGTTAATAGGAGATGGGAAATGGTCTGATAGAAGAGAGATGACTAGCTTTATTGTTCCTCAACTTTCTGTTTGACATCTTTTAATTATCTTGATCAACAATAAAGGTCTATTTTTACAGTGTATCAGTGGCTATTTTCTTTTGGCAATAAAACTTTCGAACCCTTTATGTAGAATTTTCTATCTATTGGTGTTTTGGATCATTGTGAAGCTTTACTTCATTTATTTTTTAAATTAAATGAGTAAAATATGTAGTCCACAAAATCAATATATTTTATGCACTATTAAAGTTTATACAACGAAGATGTGACCAATAAACATGAGCACAGGCTAATGGACCCTTCGGCCCACCTCATCAGCATTGGTGGATCCCACTCAAGTTAAAGTGCTCATGTAATGTATTAGAGATGTCTTTTTTGGAATTCTGCGCCCTAAATTTATCAATCCTACGTGTGCCTACCCATCCTGCCATCTGTTTGCGAATCTCGTCTTCACAATCGCCTTGAAGAGGCCGCCACCTTAATCTTCGAAGCCTTCGTTAATTTTTTATGCAACCTTCTTCTTCGAAGACCTTAGAGTGTATGTAAATCAGTAAAATATGTAGGCCACAAAGTCAAAATATTTTCAGCACTCTTAGAGTGTATGCAATGAAGATGTGACCAATAAACATGAACACGAGCTAAGGGAACCGTCAGTCCACCCCACCAGACAAAATAGCATGATATTTAAAGTTGATAAGTCCTAGCTCAACTTAATTACAATATTTTCTATTAAGCTAGGCATACACCAAAAATTTTGACCAAAAATTTTTAGATATATTCTAGTTTACTTGAATCAAGTTAATTCAATCAAAACTTGTGTAAAGACCTAAAGATTTAACCAAATTATCTAAATAGGTCAAGATGCATAAACAATATTTTTCATCTATTTGATCTAATTTGACCCTAACCGATCTGATCATCGTTATGCCTAGGTTGAAGATATTGACATTCCCCACCATCTACTCTTACATATATTAGGGCATGAGAAGTATTAATATATGACATATCGTTGAAATGAATTCATTAAAAATAATTAATAACTTTAAACAATTAAACACTATTTATATGTGCTAAAAAAATATTTTTTCACATAACACTCAAACCAATGCATTTCCAAATGTCAAATTAGTTTGCATTTAATTATCTCTAAGTTCATAATTTGAAATCCTCAAACTCCTTATATCTAAGAAGCCAAAGTGCGTTAATTAGTTCAATATCATGAAGCTTTTAAGAGCTATAATTTGAATTCATCATCTTGTTTGATTATGGCACCAAACATTGACTTGTGCTTATGTGATGCTCTAAGTCATATTTGTATTTATATAATGGGAGTACAAGCTGGTCCAATATGTAATTAAGTCAACTAAAGTTATTAATTCCAAGCTCTTTCTTTTTTCTTTCTTTCTTTCTTCCTTCCTCTTCCTTTCTTTGTAGGATGGTCATATTAAATAGCAAAAAAATTAATAAATAATAAAGAAAGAATATGCTACAAAGAATGAATGATATATAAAAATGTGTTGGAACTCATTTTTATCAGTGGATTAGGAGTGTAAATGAGTTTAGTCGAGTTCGGGTTACCTCTGATTTGAGCTTGAGCTTGATTTATTGATCGAGTTCAAGTTCAAGCTCAAGCATTATTCTATGAGTTTGAGCCTGCTAACAAGCCAACTTGTTTATTCAGAAAGAGAGGTAATGATTATAATTGAAGTCACTATTATAATAAAAAAGGTAAAATGAATGAGAAATTAGAAGAAAAATAATAAATAAACAATTAATATATGAAAGTAAATATAATTTTTAAACATTTTAAATCGCTTTATACTTAAAAATCCTTAGTAGTAATATGTTTTGAGTTTATTTTATATTAATATTTTTTAAACGAGCCAGCTTACGATCTAATGAGTCGATCGAATGTTGCAGGCTGAAATTTGACTCGTTAGCTTATCAAACTCAGCTCACCGTAAATTAATCAAATTTAAAACAATATTCATTTTTTTAAAAGAGTTTTTATTGATTCAATTAATCAAATACTTACATATGCAATGCAAGTTTTTATTGTAAATTTTTATTAAAAAGGATAATATTTATCTAAAAAATTTGTTCACCACTCTTATGAATTCACAACTTATTATAGGCTTAAAACATATAGTGTGTATGGGGTGTACATTACATGAGTATTAGGTGCATTGTTGTGTAGTTGGTGCACCTAATACAAACTCAATATTTATATATATACACACATTCTTCTTCACATCATTTCACCTAAAATAAGGAGTGTATTTGAAGCCAATTTTTTTTTTCACAAAAATAATTTAAGAAATTATAAGATATGAGGTATAAAATAAAATAAAAAAGGAGCAATTACATACATTACACTTAAATCTTATCTATTTATAAAATTAACCAAGACCAACTACCAAATTTATAATAATACCACTTAAATATTTAACTATTTTTTTTCTTCCATTAACTTCTAGATTATTTGATTGTAGCACATGTTAAAATATTGATCAGCTACTCATGTTTGATCTGAACCACAATAATCTCCTTAGAAATAGACATCAAACATGTTAAGAAAATAATAATAATAATAATAATAAAAAGATGATCACATGTAAAAGCCTAGTTGATATTTTACTATTATATTTCATTAATAAAAATCATTAAATAGCAACCCATGTAATTTATTCCAAATCATTTAAAAGTCTAAAGTCACATCTTTTTATACAATAGGAGCTTATATTAGGAAATTTTGATGCTTTTCATTAGTAATAAAATAATAAGAAAAATATTTAAAACATTGTATGCCTATAATTTTAGTGTTGTTGAACCTTTTGAGTAGTTTGAGCACACAATTTAGGTGAATTTTGTTAAGGCTCTGTGTGACAAAAAAAAAAAATTTTTTAATATATTAACTTAAAAATGTCTAAAGTAAAATTTGAGAGTATGTAAATAATCCGAGCTAACATGAGCTCAGCTCATTAATTAATGAGCTTGTGAGCTATAGGCTTAACAGGTCTATAAGTTAAGCTCTATCGAGTCATAAATAAGTTCAAACTCACGCTTATTAGGACGACTCTGGTCATTGGCTCAAAGAGGCGGAGCTCATGTCTTATGATGTATAGGTTCATTTATCATGTGTGATTTTAATAGAGAACTCATGCCTATAATAAAACTCATGGTCATTTTTCTCTTCTAGATATTAACTTTAAGCTCCAAAAGACAAATCAACGCACAAAACAAAAAGAGATTCTAAGATAGATATGCTTGCCACAAATAAAGTCCTTTAGGTTTTCACCTTTTAACTATCACAACCACAAGACCATCCATTATTAAAGTTGACATTTCCCACTTGATGTCTCTTTCTCTCTGCATTTTCATTCATCTTTTAAGGTCCAAAACTCTCCTCTCATAAATGGCCATCTCTTCTCATTGATGTGAATGATATGCCATCATGAACTACAATATTTTGTCAATTCATGAAGGTATATTTGTGGGAGCCACCATATGTTTCTTTCTCATTTATTCTTTCATCAAAAGAAATGATGGAATGGTGAAGGTAATCATTGGTTAATATGCTATCTAATAGAGATCTGAGTCTGTTTAATCACAATATATATTTTCTTTGAATGAAAAGACTGCATGATATTCATTTCTTGCTATTTTTCAACCATGAAAGATTCAAGTCGCTTAATGCTTTAATTTGAAAGTTTTGCTTCAGAGTTCAAAGTAACACTTCTTTAAGTAGCTCATCTTGATTTGTTGGTTGGGAGCTTTGACTATCAACCAAGAGGTTGCAAATTTGAAGCTTGCGTATGTGATTTTTGCATGAGTTTACGGCCTTAATTGGCTAAAAAAGTTTCCAAAATATATAGCATTTTTAATGAGGGGTGGGGAAGAGATTGAAAGAGATTTTCTTCCCATTGGAGGAGAAAGGGTATCAAAATTATTTTTGGCTGGTACTTTTCAAATTGATGATTACATTATTGAATTTGATTGAATATATGAGAATTACTTATGAATTGAATTTCATCTATTTTATGATACTTTAATAATTTGTTAAATGTTTAAAATTTATAAGAATGACTAAATGGCATTAGTATGGCTTATTATTCATTTAACCTAATGAAATATAATTCTGTTTTTTGAAAGCTTTAAAATTCAAAATTGCTTGAATTTAATTTCTTAAATTATTTCATAAGTAATTTGAATTTTAATTTAAGCAAATTGCATGTTGAGACAATATAATATGCTTAGACGAGCTAATTCTAAAAAATGCACCCAAATAAAATGTATGAATTAATTCTAAGTTAGTACTGCGCTGCGTTAAAATAAACAAAAGATTATAAAATTTTCAAAATGGGTCACAACCCACCAATTTGTATGGTGTTTGTCCAAGAACTTATTGAAGATTTAAACTTCTCAATATTGCTATTGCAACCTCTAAACATGCCAAGAATTTCAAGTTGTTCATAGTGTTGGATTGCTCTCAAGGAGTGCATTTTCAAAGAATAAATAAACAATTTTAGCTATTAATTAGTTTCATTTTTAGTTATTTTATTGATGTTTTAACAATAATTTGATCCTAGCTAACATTAGCGTATTGCCAAGGTTGTAAAGTGGAGATATCTAAATTTCAAATGTGATTATAAAACTATAATAACAAAATGAATAAAAGCATACGAGATTATTCTCATAGTGATTAGTCAACTCATATGATATATATATTGAGTAGATTGAATTTCAAGTTTTAATATCTTCTTGTGGCAAGTCGCTAGAAGTATATCCCTATACAACCTTTTCTTAAAGTCAAATGATTTTATTAATTCTCGAGAGTCTGATCTCCCAATCTATACGAGACTCATTAAAATTCTATATATAAGCCCAATTCGTGTCACATCTTGAATAGGCTGTCAACCCATCTCCAAAGACATTTGTCTTCCTTCACATCTCTTTCTTATTAATCCAAATCTATATAAAGCTTACTGACTAGCTACCTCTTCTCAAAAATAGGCGAAGGGTCAAACACTATTGTTAAGAGATGCGTTGTTGATAGACCATGTCAAGGTTTCTTCATCCCTCTTTTTTGAAGAAGCTAATTACAAAGACGACGATA